GTACGTCCGTTTCTCTCAGATTCGTTCAGCAAATTACGGGAGGCCGGCCCCTGCGAGACTCCAGGTAGGCCACCCAGCGGTGCACGCATGCACTGCTGGTAAGATGTTGCCTACCGACCAGGCGCTATGGAAGCTTGCATGGGCTGAAATGCACAGTTTTATAGTGACCAATTCGCCGGCGAATGACGGATGTTCGTTCTGGATAACCCCTCTCGTACAACAGAAACAGAAAGATAGAGGAAGAAAAGCGTAACAATTACTCCAAATACTAGAGATTTGAGAGGGTACGTGCATGACATCGACCGGTGGCCAGGCAACGTTTCGTCCTCAGCCATCACACTGCCCCGCCCCCTTTATTTCAGTTCGATAGTATTTGATCAAATACTCCAGGGCAGCTGACCAGTGCCGTCATTTTACGTCGGGTACATTTTGTGCGCGCCAGGCGTGCGATAGGGTGTTCCCATCTATGGTCTCCTACCATGGCGCCTCCCGGCCCCTAGCACTTGCGGCACAGTATTCCCTAAAATAAAAGACGGCGCTGATCACCTACCTTGCAATTTACTACGAGGAAAAGAGGTTCCGCTTCTCTTCTTTAATGAAGAAACAAAAAAATATGTAGCAACGAGAGAGAGAAAAAAAACAACTTGGCGGGCGTGGATGAGTTCATGTGAAAAACACACACACACATTAAGAGGAGCTATAATAAGTTAATAATTTCTATCGAGAGAGCTAGGAATGTTGTCGAAAAAAAAACAAGACCAAAAGAAAGGGAGAAGAGGTGAACCGTTGTGACAATAGTCATAAAGAAGAGAAGGGAATGGAACAGGGAGAGAGGAGAGAGAGAGGCCGAATAAAGGCGATGGGCCTGGGCGACTAGAGTGGCATGGGCGAACACAATGAGCGCATATGTTTCGTGGCGGGCCGGGCCGGGGGAGACGCTTCCTAGAGGCGCTCGCGCTCCACTGGAGGAGGCCGGGCCGGCTCTTCCGAGGTAATTGCATCAATCGCACTGCCCTCCTGGCCCTCCTGCCCGGCGGCGCGCTGGCCAGGGCTCGAGGAGAGTACAGCCCCGGCCAAAAGAAACTCATTTGCTTAATTAGCCGCGGGGCGCGAGGCGATGCCGCGCCCTCTGGAGGAGGCAATCCCAGGAAGTGCCAATGGCGCGCTGAAATCGGCCGTCGCCGTTGTTTGCCGTGCAGGCAGTGCTGGAGCAGCTGGAGCGGAGACCTCTGGAGCAGACGGAGCAGGGACCTCCACCTCTATACCTCTAGAGCAGGCACCTGTAGCGCAGTTAGAGCAGGGGCCCCTAGAGCAGCTGGAGAATGGACCTCTAGAGCAGGGGCCTCTGGAACAGGGACCTCTGGAGCTGCTGCAGCGGGGACCCGTGGAACCTGGCAGCACAGTGCATGTGCTGCGTACGAGAGCGAGCCGAGCAAGCACCAGCGGGTCAAGCGAGGCACCGGCAGGTCATTTGAGACGCTATTTGCGCCGCGAGGAACACGCATACAGGGAAGCCGAGACGGGGGAGGCACCACGCCTACGCCACGGCAAAGCCGCGTACAGAGTCACTTGGAAAACGGAGTCGCTTTCTATGTTTCCGAGAAAATGTTATTAGTCGGAGTCGGAGCGGAAGGCGTGATACTCGGGAGGCGGGGCCCCGCGGCACCGCACCGGCGGAGCACAGTCGAGCCTCTTCAGCGATTTGCCTTCCTTTCCCTGCCTCGCCCGGTGGCCGCAGTGAGAGGGGCGCAAGAGGCCCCGGCGGCCCCTACCGCACACATGCACTCGTGGGGTGCAGAGTGGGGGCCGGAGCTGGGGTCAATGGAAAGGTCATTCGTCCGGGGCTTCAAACTATCGTGTGATGCACCGCGGTCACTACCAGGACACCGCCGTGGGGACCCGACCCTCCAGCTGACCCGCTCGGGGGGCCACAGAGGGACGCGATACACCGCAAGAGGTCCCTCACGTGCGTTGGGCCCGACAGACCCGGGCGGCCAGACCGATTCAACAAGCCTTCCTTGAACGATCGGAAGTCGACTTTCTTCTCCCGAGCTTCGAGCAGTGCAGGGAGTTGCGTCCCTGCCCTGCCATCATCCTGGAGGGGGGAGGGGGCGGGCGAGCACCGCTAACCGGTAAGCCGACCCCCCCCCCTCCATGGACATACCATATACCTACGGCGCGGCGCGCGGCAGACGGGACGGGCCCAACTGCACTCGACCCTCCCGACTCGACTCGAGTTGCGTCGGTCTGACCGGACGTCAGCAGCGTCGCCGTCGGGAGGGACGCTAGCTGCTGAGGACGTCCTCAGGGACGCCTTCGACACCACCGGCGGCGTGGACGCCATTGTGGCGTCTGACGAAGCCAAATGGGAGTTAGAGAGAGAGATTGGGGGGGGGTACATCCTCGGCTGGAGTGGAAGACGCCGACGCGCGCGGTGAAGTCCAAGAAAGGGGCGAGGTGGACGTTCTCCGGCCACATTCAGCAAATAGGTAGTATGTTCTCGTCAGAGCTGAGCTAGTCGCCCATGCCATGCGGCGCGGCAGTGCCAGTGCACCTCGGCGGCCTCCTTCCTGCTCCGGCGAGAACCATGCGCCAAATCAGGCGTCCATCTGACTTGATGCCGCTGCAGCTCGCACTCACGGCTCGCCCCGCAACACACCCGACGGCTGCACCACCACCCCGCATGGCGCGCCGGCGCACCACCCGGCGCCTGGCGCCCCGCCCCCAGCCTCCCGCACCGCACCACCGCCCCACTGTAAAAAAAATTAGAGGGAATTTTCCCCTCCCCGCGTGGCAACGCTCCTTTGCCAGCTAGTGTTTGGTAAATTTACAGACCCAAATAGCCTGTAAATCCCCGGCCCACTGGTGGGGAAATTTACAAGCCAATGTGGTTGGGAAAGGAGTCTTTCCAACCCACCCAAGTAAATTTACTACGTGGGCAGGAAAGGAGTCTTGACTGACTCAACGTCATCAAATTTCCCATTGTGCGCGTGTGAGGATGACTTTCGTGCCCACCACATGCAAATCTCCAGCCCAGGACAAGGATGGCGGCGTTGCCACTCCACTAGCACGGAAATTTCCTCTCCGATGACAGTCCTTAGGGGCAAAGTGCGAGTTTTACCTATTGTTCTCGGGCCGACTGGATTGTATATATAATAGTCCGCCGGTTACCGAAACCAGTTTCAAAAATTTGATTATCGATCTCAAGAAGAGAATATGTCGCAGCAGCGACACGTGAAGTCACAAGTCACATAGGAAGTACGCACGTGGGCGTTCCTTTCAGTGACGAGGTGACGGGGACGTACTGAACAAGACGTCGTTGCGGAGACCTCCCGAGCGTTAGAATTTAACAGATTATTTGGGGGATATGGTTCACTTTTTCGACAAACGCCGATTGTTGTCGGGTAGGGTGATTCCTTCTATAACATACTGCGTAGAATTAACTGCCATTACCTGGAGGGAGTTTTAATTTAATAAAAAAAGCTGATTTTGTGGGAGACGCGCTGACTGAAACGCCATCTAGCGGAAGTCAATCGCGGGCTTCGCGTCGGGGTGGCCGAGGTTAAATAAAGGAGGTGATTGGTGTGGGGTGGTGTGGCGTCAGTGTAGTAGTAGTCCGAACCCACGTCTCCTTCCACGACGCTCTGGCAGTCACGAATTTGTGGGAAATTTGCAGCCGCCGAAAGGAGATTTGCAGGCAGTGGGATGCGCAAGTACACTTTTCTGCCCACGGCCACGGGATTCCCTCGTCGGGTTGGGGAAATTCGCAATCGGTGGGTGCCGAACGGACCCTTTCTAGCCCACGTCGGGCAATTTGCAGTCAATGATGTCGGTCGATTCACTTGCGTGGGCAGGAAAGGATCCTTTCACAGCGCAAGTGGCATGCAAAGGCTACTTTCCATTCCAGTAGGTAAATTCCCAACCCATGTACTGCAAATCCCGAACCTTTGTACATGAAATTT